CAGCTACAGCCCTATCCAACAAACTGCTACCACGCCCCGAATCACTGCCACAACAAACCACACAAACACAGACTGGGTGTTCCATTTGATCACAACATTCAACCAGTCAAGATTCATTATGGAACCGTACGCGTATGTGCATACCTGGGATTGGTAAGGTTGTAAAAGCTTTTCCAGATCTGCAGCATGTGTTTGCAGGTGAGCAAAGCTTCTTCTGATCCTCTGCACATGCTCTCCAACTTGACCTTGGTATAGAGCAAGCTAAAGGATGCCCAGCACATCCATAAACACAAGGTCAGATTGTGGCTAGAATGGGATGCATCATGCGAGTGTGGGTGTTGTGTGGGTGTGCCTCACTTGAAGTTCTCTGGATACTCAGATAGGGCCATTTCTATAATATTGAGACCATCCTGGTAATGTTTCTGTGCTGAGAGAAGCAGGGCCAGCAGATGAAGGGAGTGAACATCATCCCCTTGAAGCTGCAAGGCTTGTCGAACATAGCCGAGCGCCTCAGGAATCTACACACACAGGCGCACACGGACACGCGCGCGCACACACACACACACAAACGCACACACACAGAGACTACAGGTTTTCTCTACATTTGAGGGACAGACAACTATTTCACATAATTGGTTTTCGTGTACATCCCTGACTTCATGACTCATATTCCTACGTCAAAGGTCAATGGTATGTGTATGTTTACTTTAAACAGGCGTGGTTACCTGTCTGGACACAGCAAGCTGCAGTGCAAGGTAGAAGGCTGCTAGATGGTCTGTTGGAGACAAACTCTGAGCTCTGTCAACACAGAGGAAGTTTGCATGTTCAAAAATGTCATTCAAACGATTATTAAATGACAGAATGTTACAAAGAATCCAATAGGGTTGTTCAAATTCCGAGTCGCGGTGGAAAAAGTTAGTTCTTACCATTTTATGGTCACCCATGTCTTAAGTCATAACAGTAACAAAACAAAATGAAGAAATATAGCACTTTATTTTAGATTCTATTTACTCAATAATCTTTTTTAATGGGCAATTGTCGAACCAAGAGTTTCTTGTTGTTATTTTGAGCTATTGAACATATATACACACGTTTCAGTACAAATACTTGAAGGGACAAATGGAAAATTGTCATCATAGTTCAAAAAGTCAAACCAGTAACTGAATCATAATTTGGCTGTGGAGCAGTTAATTTTTAATTTTACACCAAATTCACGTGATCATGATCAGTTTCGGCTAAACACACTCACAGATGATCGTATCAGTATCAGCAGCATGTAACCCTGATTGGAACACCCCAACTGAAAACCATTCTGAAGTAGATGTGGGTAGACGAGAATAAGCAGAAAAAGAAGGAAATAAAAAAAGACACCAAACCTCTGGAAGGCTCCCAAAGCTTTTCTTTGATACTCTTCCTGTGTGCTTCGCAATGATGCTATGGAGAAACGGACAGTAGGAGAAAAAAAGCAGTCAGCTGCATTACAAAATAAAACAATGGGTCTTATTCACCGATAAATGTCTAGAAATGTTCCTTTCTTTGTGCACAAGTTGAGTGGGTGGGCAAAATTACCATCTGACACGTGTGCACTGGCCGATTTTCTTCACACCACCGTGTGTAGGTTAAAGAATAAATATTGATTCGATGTAATCGCTTGTGAGAGTGGCGCTACAATTTCCATTACCGCGCACCGATTTCCCCATAAAAAGGCATTTGTTTAACGCATTTCAGCGCATCCCAAAGCTTCATAGTGTAGGACACAAGATCTTCGAAACGTTCTTAATCTTAATCCTCTATTCAAAACGTTTGTATCATCAGAAAACGTGATAAATGCAGAAAGTGACAACACATAATAACGATATGAATCATTGTTAATTGAATCCAAAGTTCAATAAGAGAATGCTGCACACAAAACATGCCTTGAAAAAAGACATTCGGAGACGAGAGATGAACAAACACGGCGCAAGTTGTTAAAATAGATCGTAAGGAATATATGTCAAAGCCGCTGAAATTACACAATTCATGCCGGTCAGAGTTACGCGTGCGCCTCTGATCTTTTGATGGCTATTTGTCAACTGGATATATCGTGAAATGTTCAAGATTTGTAGCGTGCATGTGTACTTGATCGATACGGATAAACATACAATACCGACTGCAGTTCCAAGCATTTGAGCACAAGGGTAAAAGTGATGAGAAGTGTCCTTTTCATGGTTCTTTGGGACATTAGTCAACTTATCAGCAAATTCACAATTTACGTTTATTATCGTCAAGATTATTCGTTTGTATGGATGACTGTAGTTTCAATACGTTGCGCGTGTTGCGTAAAACATTTGTGTTGGACATTTTTTTTTTTTGAAAGCAGATCATTATTTGTGTGTTGGCATTGTCTTGAGAGGTTCTACATTAGTTCACAGAATACACACACACGGTCAAGTACAAACATAACGATGAGTCACAGATTTGTATGTCAAACGTGCCTATGGACGATTTAAGCACAAATCTGTGTGTTAATTAGTAAGTGAAAAAAAAATTAGTACATGAGGCCCAGAGTCTCAGACTTGCTGGACACATGAGCGAGCGCACACGCAGACTTACCATCCGTGGCTTTGAGGCTGTAAACCAGTCCAATTGCCAAGTGGCCTTTGGCTCTAAACTCGGCTGCTTTCTCCCCCATGTCGATCACCATTTTGGCAAAGCACTCACCCTCATCCAGCTAGGATGAATTTAATGAGGGAAAAAACACCTGTGATTTAGAAAGCAGACCTGGATGACGCTTCAGAGTTTGTTGCTTGAGCGCAGCTGTTACCCAGTGCAGGGGTCCGATGCAAAGTTTGACGGCCAGTAGCGGAATGGTGGGGTCATCTGGCTTTAGACGGATACACTCCTTCAAAACTTTAACTGCGCGAGCGGATTTCCCAGCAGCCATTAAAGAAAGTGCAAGCTGGTACCATAAGTGGAACTCCTCAAAGGCAAACTTCATGGCGCGCTCCAAACACTGAATAAAAAACACAAGGAGACATTTAGATGGAGCAATTGACAATGTAGTGGTTCGCATATTGCAGCTAATTTTCATGCGGCTGGCACAGGCTCGATTCAGTCAATGGCTATTTACGATCACACTGTCAGGCAACCACGACTTTGCAACGAGCGATGCTGGGGTAGCTGCGTTCTAACTGGCGATGGTAAATTAAAAACACGTTAACCTCGCAGTTGAGCATTGCGGTGGATTGCTGCCTTTTACATAGACCACGGTTCAAATCCCAGTTATGAACACGCACATTCTAATGAGTATGCTGAACCGTAATTCCAAGACAGTGCCTGTGTTAAAACGAGTGGGATGTGTCAGGAAGGGCATCCACTGTCAAAACTGTGCCAAACAATAAATTCACGATGGCGACACCTGACAAGACACGCCCCAAACATGGAAAATCTCACTAACTGCAGTGTCAACTTTACACCAAGAGAGAGTGCTAATAAACTGTGAAAAAAGATCAGAAGTGGTTTCGATAGCGTACAATGGACTTATCTGGCCTAGAAATGTCTGTGTTGATGGCGTACAATTGTCCGGGCAATACCTTGGGGCACAAAAAAATAAACGACAATATTCTGTGGTCGACTTTTCCCCCCGACCTGGTGGTCAGTGCCTGTTGTGGTGGTAATCCCCGAACTCGATGGAGGACAGCGAATGATAAGGCATGCCATCAAGATGAAGGAGGAGTGCTATCGAGAATTTTTGGCCTGTGGAACTCTGGACGAAGCTGATAGGTACTGCCGGACCAAGAGCAATGAAGCGTTGGCAGTCACTGAGGCAAGTCCTTGGGCATGAGAGGAGATTGGTGAGGACGTGGGAAACGAATTTCGGACGGCTTCCAAGAAATTCTGGTCCACCAGCTGTCATGTCAGGAGGCGAAATAAGTAGACCGGTGGTGCCCAAACGATGGCCCAGAGGCCATTTGCGGCCCGCCATCCATTTTACAGTGGCCCGCGACATGACAAAAAATAATAATAAAATACCGTGAACCTTGGGCCACAAGGTTAGTTAAAAAAGGTGAAGTTGAGCATAGTGAGAAAGGTGTCAAAAAATAGTTGCCATTACCATGAATAAATTTGTTTACATACTATATAGCTTTTCTCTATATTTGAACAAATAAACAATTTATGATTAAAACAAAAACAATTTATCTTCACAGCACTGTAGTAAATAAAGATAATTCAACTTTAGGGATAAAAATAGTTTCTTCCACTTAGTGCTCTATGGACGATTTATGAAGACATCACATTAATGATCCGCAATAAACTAAATAGTTCTCTACGAAATATCATTTCACATATTTCACAGTTATGTCTTATCGACATTTTGCGAATTTTGGACAGTCTGTTAGTGTGGCTTTTTCATTCAGCAATCAGGATTACCGGTATATACAGTAGACTGAGGACTGCAATATTACTTGCCTCTGATAGCATCTCATACTGCCCTCTCCTGCCTAAAGCAATAGTCAGCAGGTCGTACACCACAGAGGCGGACTGTAGACTAATGATTCGATCATTATTGTGTTCCGGGATCCTGCTTAGGACAGCATCGCGGTTAGCCTGAAATACACACAATTGTAAAGTTACGCTGAGTATGTATGACTTTGGAGCAGGGTATGCCATTGGCACATGTCTTACCATGGACTCACTAATGAGGAGCAGCAATAATGCTTCTTCTGTGTTCTCCTGGGGACAAAAAAGACTGAGGGAGAGAAATGAGTAAAGAGATTCCAAAAGGGTGAGGGGGGAAAAAGAGAACAGAAAGATGAGCACATTGAGGACATTGCAACATTGACAATAGATTGTTTTGAACAGCTGCGGATATTGCTCCACTGTCCTACTTATTCTCTCCATTCACCACAAAAACATGATTGCTTACTTCTCTCCCGAGTACACGCGTGGGCGTCGGCTTAAGCTGTACTTCTTGCTTTGGACGTGTCCTTGTCGCGTGGGATCGTCCAGCGGTGACACAGTAGGCGGGTCTTCCACAGGAGACCAATAACTCTGTTCACACATTCCTCGGAGCAAGATCTCTGCAAGCTGTCTTGCTATGGTCTGAACATACACACGTGTGCATAGAGACACACACAAATACACTTATTTTCTGGCACCAAAGATCAGTTGAAGTCTCTCTCACTATTTCTAATGTACTTCTTGTTTTAACCCGACTGTAATGTATTTCTAGAGTGCTTTAGAAAACAACAAGTGATGTAGAGTTCAACGGGAAGCCTGAACAAAGTCTGTCACCTAACAAAAGCCAATCTTCCAGCCTGCTCCATACCATGCGCAGGTTCTGTGTCGTCCTGGTCTCAACAGCTCGAAGAATTTCTCGAAATCGCCCAACACCTTGCGTCAGGTTTCTATGCATGAAAAAGAAACATGTACAAGGTTAGTTAAAAAAGGTGAAGTTGAGCATAGTGAGAAAGGTGTCAAAAAATAGTTGCCATTACCATGAATAAATTTGTTTACATACTATATAGCTTTTCTCTATATTTGAACAAATAAACAATTTATGATTAAAACAAAAACAATTTATCTTCACAGCACTGTAGTAAATAAAGATAATTCAACTTTAGGGAGAAAAATAGTTTCTTCCACTTAGTGCTCTATGGACGATTTATGAAGACATCACATTAATGATCCGCAATAAACTAAATAGTTCTCTACGAAATATCATTTCACATATTTCACAGTTGTGTCTTATCGACATTTTGTGGAATTTTGGACAGTCTGTGAGTGTGGCTTTTTCATTCAGCAATCAGGATTACCGGTATATACAGTAGACTGAGGACTGCAATATTACTTGCCTCTGATAGCATCTCATACTGCCCTCTCCTGCCTAAAGCAATAGTCAGCAGGTCGTACACCACAGAGGCGGACTGTAGACTAATGATTCGATCATTATTGTGTTCCGGGATCCTGCTTAGGACAGCATCGCGGTTAGCCTGAAATACACACAATTGTAAAGTTACGCTGAGTATGTATGACTTTGGAGCAGTGTATGCCATTGGCACATGTCTTACCATGGACTCACTAATGAGGAGCAGCAATAATGCTTCTTCTGTGTTCTCCTGGGGACAAAAAAGACTGAGGGAGAGAAATGAGTAAAGAGATTCCAAAAGGGTGAGGGGGGAAAAAGAGAACAGAAAGATGAGCACATTGAGGACATTGCAACATTGACAATAGATTGTTTTGAACAGCTGCGGATATTGCTCCACTCTCGTCCTACTTATTCTCTCCATTCACCACAAAAACATGATTGCTTACTTCTCTCCCGAGTACACGCGTGGGCGTCGGCTTAAGCTGTACTTCTTGCTTTGGACGTGTCCTTGTCGCGTGGGATCGTCCAGCGGTGACACAGTAGGCGGGTCTTCCACAGGAGACCAATAACTCTGTTCACACATTCCTCGGAGCAAGATCTCTGCAAGCTGTCTTGCTATGGTCTGAACATACACACGTGTGCATAGAGACACACACAAATACACTTATTTTCTGGCACCAAAGATCAGTCGAAGTCTCTCTCACTATTCCTAATGTACTTCTTGTTTTAACCCGACTGTAATGTATTTCTAGAGCGCTTTAGAAAACAACAAGTGATGTAGAGTTCAACGGGAAGCCTGAACAAAGTCTGTCACCTAACAAAAGCCAATCTTCCAGCCTGCTCCATACCATGCGCAGGTTCTGTGTCGTCCTGGTCTCAACAGCTCGAAGAATTTCTCGAAATCGCCCAACACCTTGCGTCAGGTTTCTATGCATGAAAAAGAAACATGTGTAAGGGGCAATCTCAGAAAAAAAGCCTTTTAAAAAATCGAATTGTGCAGATGTCTGTTTGTGCGTGAGCGAAAAGGGGACCTGGTCTCAACAGCTCGAAGAATTTCTCGAAATCGCCCAACACCTTGCGTCAGGTTTCTATGCATGAAAAAGAAACATGCGTAAGGGGCAATCTCAGAAAAAAAGCTTTTTAAAAAAAATCGAATCGTGCAGATGTCTGTTTGTGCGTGAGCGAAAAGGGGAATGAATCACACACACGCAAAATCTTTTCTTGCACTAGTTTTCAACATGGCACATTCAGGCATCATTCATTTTCTACTGAACAGAGACATTTTTTTAAAAACTGCATGAGAACAACAGCTCGCATTTTAGTGGTTCAATATGATCAAATCTGCCTATTCACAGATTTTTGGGCGGGTGTGGGGAGGAACTTTTCCTGTTATAATTTTCTCCACTTAGTTTGTTGAATCTCAGTGAGTATTCACACCATAAAAGTACTTTGGTCAACTAGTCACCAAAAGCGGATAAGTTACTTAATTAGATTGATTCAATCGATCAATAACTCGTGAATAATGATGTCAATGTGTGCCCAGCATCGATGTGCACTAGTCCAGATGAGCAACGTAGCTGGATGGCAGGGCAGACTCATCGATTAAATAATATAAAAATAAAAAATATAATTTCAGTGAAAAGAGCTTCTACATACTGGCGTACCAAGTAAAGAAACGTACCAAAAAATATTTGGGGAATTACCTATGTTCATGTAAATAAAATACAGCATCAACCTGACATTGGGTTGCGGTCTACATTTTGTAACGGTAATTTACTGCATCCTAACATAATTAAGCTGCCGTTTGAGTTTAAAAGGACATACAACTGTTGTTCAAAGAAACACACCAAAAATATTTGGGGAATTACCTATGTTCATGTAAATAAAATATAGCATCAACCTGACATTGGATTGCAGTCTATATTTTTTTAACGGTAATTTACCGCATCCTAACAATTAAGTTGCCGTTTGAGTTTAAAAGGACATACAACTGTTGTTGGCATCAGTTCATTACTTGTCATCCCACACATGGCGATGTAATAGCAGGTGCTGTCTTACCCGTTCTTAAAGTGAATGACATGGGCTCTCTGTAGGCCAGTCTCAAGGAAGTAACCCAGTTCCTGGTCCTGGGAAGTCGGGCCAGGCTTCGGGCTGCGATTCTGAATTCCAGCTGACAATGCCTGAGAAAAAAAAATAAGAATTGTACACAATCATCACTCCAAAAGCACTACCAAGTTATAGGAGGTTGCAATGATAGAATTCCTCAATGTTATGCAGCCTTCCAGAGCATTTGGAGTCATTTTTTGAATCTCATCATTTTGTTCTCCAATAGAAATTTGTTTTTAATTGCCCGAAAAGCACATGAGCACATAAGCAAAGTTGCTACTCTAATTAGCCTTACAAAAACTTGACTGCAAGACACCTCAACACAGTCCACAAACACACACCTTCTCAGCCTCCTGCAAGTACAGCAGAGCAATGTCTCCAGATTTTTCATAGCATGTGATGATTTCTTGCTCTCGCTCAGTTCTGTTCCGATTGCAGGAGGGAGAACCGCCGTTCTTATTGGACAGCAGCGGAGAAGCGGCTGGGACTTTCTCTAGACACAAGCCTGAGGGAGAGAGACGACACAGTGAGACAGGATGACATAAAAATAAAAAATTAAATTAAAAACCTGAGTTTCTTCAAAACTTCACCATTGAGCAACACAAATCTAGTGGCATTCCTACTCCCTCCATCTCTGATCTCAAAATCACCTACTGCCACAAAATTACAGATGATCCCTATGGGGAAAGATTTGTCTCCAAACTAAACTAAATATTTTGGTGATTTTCACATGTGTTTTGAAGATCCACACATTTATACCCAATTTACATGTTTGTTAATGTCATTTTCCAATTTTTAAACTAGAAACGGGAGATGGCTCGCTCTCATTAAATAGCAACAGGAACACTGCCACTAGGCGGATGGAGGTGGAATGGTCTTTACACGCGTGAATATCTGAGACCTGTGTATATGAATACTGTATCGTGAAATAATGTGATGTGTCTCAATAATAAACGTGCATGTCCAAAAACGCACAGTCAACACTTCACACAGAATTAGAATGAAATATTTACAAATTCCGTGTTTAATGTACGTGGCCAATAAAGATGATTCGGATTCTTCTTCTGAGGTCGGTGCAAATTCTAGTGCTTTGCACAGCCACTTTAGGCTGCAGCAAGTCAAACAACGTATGTCTTTCTGTTTTGTGTGTACCTTTCGTGGCATAAGCTTCTGCTATCATAGATAGCCTATACACTGGAGCTCCCACCAGCTGCATGTCGTCCAGATTCACCCTGTTATAGTGACCTGCAAAGAATCAACTCAATTATTTTGCAACTCGGGGCATTTTCATTAAAAATGACATAATGTGATCAATTAATCTGAAAGTTAGCAGGGTGTTACCTAAAGCGTCTGTGTATTCTGCCTCAACATAACTAAGTTTGGCCATGAGCAGACTTGCTTCCTGGAGGTAATCAGCCTGCAAAGCAGACAATAAACATTAAAAAGATTAAACAGTGGTAAACTGGATGCTTCAAATATCTCAACACTTAACAACAAAAAGAAACTGCCACCAAGGTCTACAGCAGTGGTTCTTAACCTGGGTTCGATCGAACCCTAGGGGTTCGGTAAATCGGTCTCAGGGGTTCAACGGAGCCTCTGCCATGGAGGTTAAGACATACCCGACAACATGTCAATTAGTTATGACACGCCCGCTTGGCCGTCACTGGCTGCAGATGATCACATTACATTACTTGTCCAATCAGTGCTGCGGGAAATTTAGTTCGCTCAGTAGTCAACGTGTGACTGTCGTGATAGTATGTCGTAAAATAAAAAAAAAACTTATACGTATGTTTTGAAATGTTATTTACTTTTTTCTGTTCTTAATAAATGCGATTTTTATGTCTTGAATTTGTAAAAAGTCCTATTTTTGTTATTCACTAATGAAGGGTTCTGTGAATGTGCATATGAACTGGTTGGGTTTGGCACCTCTAACAAGGTTAAGAACCACTGGTCTACAGTGTATATCGGTCTATGGTGTGTCCATTTGTGTGCCATGTGGCCTTGGGTGGTTACCTTGAGGTTTCCTCTGTCCAAAGCAGCAGTGAGGTGCTTCCTGACCTCCACCAGTTTTGGTCGTGGGCCTCTTGGACTCGCACCCTGTTTGATTGGATTCTCCTTCAGGTATGTCAGAAGCTTGCATTCCCCCAACAACAGCTCGCCAAGGTCATCTGTACACATGAAAATATTTGTTTGGAAGAAAAAAAAAATTTCATCATCATCATCATCATACACTCTGCTTGATTGGATTTAATTATGGTAAAATTCATGAAATGTTCAATCAACCAGGCAAATCTTCAATCTATTTAAAATGAATCAATGATCAGAGCAACATATGGTTTCCAGTTGCAAATAAGGAGTGCCGGATATGTTAATAATCAACTAATCTGTTGATTATTTTATTGAAAAATCAACGAATAGGATTTTTTTTTTAATGTTTTAATTTCCATGCCTTTAGTCAAAAACAGGACATTATTTCAAAGTGACAGCTCAGATATTACACAAATAACTTGGTTTGTAATATGTCAAAGAAATATTTTATTTTGATTCAGCATAAAGAATTAGTCCATGCATTCCAAGTAGTTGGACAAATTTAAATGACACAAGTAAATCAGTAATCCGTTACCAAATTAAGTTAATACCAATTAATTTGATAATTGATTAGTTGAGAATAATTGTTGCACCTCTCATATGATTAATTCATGTTTAAGAACATTCAAAGTGGGGGTTGTAACAAAAAACAATTTGAATCGCTGTGGACTAAGATTAACCGAGATGTCCATGACAGCAACCAACTGTTCGTATACACATACCAACCAGAATTATGACAAGTAATCCTATTGCTGATCCCAGTCGGGGACCAGCGCTCGTAGTTATTGAATAAATAAAGGCAGCATTTTTAAAAGACATTTACACAGGCACATCTCCAGAATTTCCTTTCCTCCCGGTGGGTGTCACCAATGCATATATTTAAAATATAAACTAGAAACGCTGGAGTATCTTAAATGGGCTACACATATCTGACGGGGGTATTGCACCTCCTCGCCCCGATTTAGCGACGTCCCTGCCTTTAATAAATCAATATTATTTGAGAATAACCTATAAAGACGTTTTGACATTTTCAGTTGGGCCACTGTGGTTTCACTTCTTTATGTGTCCAAGATATTTTCGATAGACGCAAATTTGGCAGTGGCGTATAATATTACAGTGAAAATAACATTTAATACACATATACTGTTTCGCAGATCATACATTGGAAACTAAATTGAAGTGGCGGGGAGTTTGCTGCATGGAGCAGTAAATGTGTGTCCGTTTGCCATTATTTAGATGACATTTACATTATATTTATCATAGAACTATCAAATATTGTTTTGGTTTCCATGATTCAAGCACGAGTCATAATGTCGAGATGTCCAATTACCCCACGTACGTTTCCTAGTTCAGGAAGTCCTGAGGATTCCGATAGAGAGGAAGGCCGCGTGTACGTTTGACGGCATAAATATACATCTTACCGTTTGAAATCAACTTAGCTGAGAGCTGTCGAACTAACTCCGGTATCTTATCCCATTGCCCCTCTGAACGGCACCGCTCTATCTCGGTCTCCAGTCGTGAGCCAGACTTCTTGGCCGTCATTTTGGTGAGCGGCTTCGGCTTGGACCAAAACAGAAACACCAAAGACTCGCTCTTGACGTGTAGCGGTCAAGCTTAGTATACAGACAATTGCGCTTCCGGTTATGAATTTCAAATGAAAGCCCCCCCTACTACTACTACTACTACTACTAATAATAATAATAATAATAATAATAATAATAATGAATTGATTTTTACGGCGCATATATGCCTCAAATGTACGTTATGAACCAAGCCCCTCACTCTTCCCATCCCCATGAACCGGTCCGTGGCGGAAGAAAGGTTGCGGACCAATGTTTTTCGGGACAGTTCTGCCACAACAAATATGGCGGAGGTGCTCGCATCCAACTTGCATCTACATAAATGTGATATCTGTGTTTTCAATAAACAGTAACAACGTCGAGGTTGCTCGAAGAACCTTTCGTGATATGGCAGACTTGTCATTGTATTTAACCAATATAAACGTTTCATTGGGACGAACTATGGAAGGTAATAAGGTGAGTCCACGCAAGGGTTCGTTTTATGTTGTGGTTTCGTTTTTGATCGAAGTCGACTGACATGTTGTGATTCACTTCCTTAGCTTGCATTAGCCGTTTGAAGACGTCCCCAATAATGTATATTGATCGTTTTAATGCCAGTTTGGGATGATTCGTCGTAAGTACAATTAATTCAAACCATCAGTGACGTTTTTTCCCCTCGGCTTTTTGTTGTGTTTTTGATTTTGCTTTGTTATCGTTCTCGCCTACGTGGGCATATAACAAAGTGTTGCATATTTGAAACGTGAGACATAATGTCATCTGAGATTATTACAATGAAATAAAAAGCTATTGCCATTGGCACTACAATAAAAGATAAACAGTACATTAATAGTGCTTGTGCATGTGCTTGTTCAGAGTCAAGACGTGGTGGAAGACTTCGAGAGAGTGGAGATGGGCGACTCAGGTGCGAGGCAGGGAAGGGTTAAGCTTCCCCGCAGGACCATCTACTTTGCCAGTGGCGAAACAATGGAGGAGTACAGTACTGACGAAGAGGAAGAGGAACCTGTGGAGAAAAGAGTGGTTAACGTGGATACGGTAAGTCAGTACATGTCAATAAATTGCACTAAATGCACGTTGTGTGTGAGACAACCACTGCTCTCTGTGCTCAGGTTTAGATTGATTTACCTCATAACATAAGATGACTTTACATTTTTTTCTGTTTATCTACTGGTGATCTTGTCAAAAAAAGAAAACAAGCCTAATGCCACTTTGTTCTAAGATTGTCCCCACGTTTGTTTTCTAGTCGAAACTGACATGGGGCCCATATTTTTGGTTCCACATGTGGAGAATGGCCACCTCAACTATCTCAGGTAACACATCCCTTAAATAATGTCCACATGGACCTTTACATTTAACTACCATACTAGCAATCTGTATGGGGTGGGTATAAAAAAGTCTACAGACCCCTGTTAGCCAGGTTTTTGTGGTAGTAAAAATGAAACAGGATAAATCATCAATTGAGGAAAACATGCGTCGGTGAGCTCCATGGACAACGTTGACATTTCCATTTTATTTATGTTCAACGAATGGCGGTATTGGAAATTTGATATTGTTTGGTCACAGTCAAAAAGAAGAAGAAGAAGAAGAAGAAGAAGAAGAAGAAGAAGAAGAAGAAGAAGAAGAAGAAGAAGAAGAAGAAG